ACGAAAGGGTTCTCGGAACAATTGTCGACAGGAAAGGCCTTTCGTACAGGAAATTATGATCTTGTGTGTTCTTTTTCGGACGGCAAAATATCGAGAAAAGGTCTATGATGGAAAGTTCTTGCAATCTCGGATTACAAAATGAATGGCATTTCATTAGATTAAAGCTAGCACTCATTAGACCAAGCAATTTCTCTGAATGAACTCAAAGATTTTAATCTTAGACAATGTTTGAAATATTATAGGGTAAATTACAACGAAAACCCCTGAACTTAGGGTAAATTACAAAACACACCCCAACCTATCCGTAGTAATTATCATAATCCCCGACGTTTGTTTGCGTCTTACACCGACCCCCACCCCCTTACGGTATAATTTTTCACGGAATATTTTTTTACTAATTAATATTTCCCAAAAAAATGTCAATTCTAGACATGATATTTCTTTATGCTATTTTTTAAAGACAAAAATTACTCTCAAAATGGGTAAAGTGTACTAAAAAGTTGTGAATGCGTTATTTAAGAAGTTATTTTACTTATTTAACAACAAGTTTAGATTCGTGTAAAGGCTCCGTTAGGATAAGTTTTGCTTTTAAAAAGTAGTATAAAGAAAGACATTGAGGGTAGAATCGAAATTTTTCGGAAAATATTATTTGGAATAAAACAAAATACATGAAAAATCACATCTTAATGGAGTCCAGATGAAAACAAATGTTCGGCGAATTTTGGTAATTACAAATAAATGGGATTTTTTTTGTAATTCCTCTAAGTTCATGGGGGTTTTCGTAATTTAACCATTATTACAACAAGAAGGGATGATCTTGCTGGCTGCTGCTAATCTATAGTAAAATTTATATATAATAAAAAGATAAAGATCACTATTTGAAATTAGAGTAAAAAGCAGTTTGCCCCCTAAACTAAGACCCGTTTTGCGCTTTGCCCCCCAAACAATTTTTTTTTGCACGTTATTACCTAAACTCGTATTTTTGTTGCACGTTGCCTCAAAAGTGGTATTTTCCGGCAAAATTCACCGGAATGTTAAGCACGTGCTATTCACGTGAGTTTGGCAGGGGTGAATTTGTCTTTTCATTAGCAATAAAACACGTGGCGTCCACCTGTCTTCTTTTCTCCCTTTCCTCCTTGAATTCTTTCGTCAGAACCCACCTTCTTTCACTCCACCAGTGCTCTCTTTCTCAAATTCTTACCCAGAAGAAAATTACTAACTAAAAATGAAGAATAAATGATATTCTCTTTTAAGTATGATCACTCTTCCAAAAACGTAAATGAAAATAAAGAAATTTCGATCACTCTCACTGCAAAGGCTTCATCAATGGCCGCAGATGGTGACTCGCTGACCGCAAAACCATTCTCGGTGCTATTCGTTTGTTTCGGCAGTATCTATAGAAGCCCAGTCGCCGAGGGTGTCTTCAAACATCTCCTCAGTCAAAATAATCTAAACTCTAAATTTTACTCATTCCTTTCTTCGATTCCGCCACCGCCGTTTTGACGGGCTCCTTCTCTGGCCACAAGTTCCATGGCTTCGCATCCCCATTAGCCTCGTCTGCCGGTGCCGAAATGGAGTCGTTTCGCGACAGGATAGTGGGAGGTTGTGGGATGGGGTTTGGGCGATGGGTCTCATTGTCGGAGTTGGGTCCTGGGTTGCTGTGGTAGAGTTGATTAGGGGAACTCCGACGGCGGAAGGGGTGGGAATTGGAGGCGGCACAGAGGAGGAATTCGGACTAAGCGAATCGGAAACAAGAATAAGAAAAAATCAGGAGAAATACAGAATTTGATACTCTGTAGTTGAGAATGAGAGAGAGAGAGAGAGATTTGACAGATAAAAGAAAATGAAAAATGAAAAAGAAAAAGGGAAAATTAAACCTTGGTCAAGATGTGAGTGAATAGACAATTTTGACCCTATCAATTTCACATGCGGCGCGCGTGCACAGATTTTCAGTGAATTTTGCCGGAATATACCACTTTTTGGGCACCGTGCAACAAAAACTCGAGTTTAGGTAAAAACGTGCAAAAAAAATTTGTTTGGGGGGCAAAGCGCAAAATGGGTCTTAGTTTAGGGGGCAAACTGCTTTTTACTCTTGAAATTATATATATATATATATATATATATATATATATATATATATGGCAAGAGTGGAGAAGCTCACCTGTATATCCGCCATAGCTACAGAAGAAAACCAAACGATCCCTCGAAATCTCGTTTCAGTCAAAATTGCAAAAGCTTCTCAGCTGAATAAAAACTAAATTTCAATAAATATTTCTCCTTTTTTTTTTCTTCTCATTTGGATAAAAATCAAATCTTTCACACTTTTTCAACCAAAAAAGAAGAAAGACCCAGAATTAATTCAGAGCAGAAGAAATTTTTGGGGGTTTTGAAAGACAGAAGACGAGGATGCATAAAAGGGTAGCGCGCCATGTCAGCACTGCTAAAACGAATTAAAAATATTATTATATTAAATAAATAAATGAAAAGTTTGTTGAGGAGAAGTATCGAGAAAAACCATGGATTCTTGTGGCTGGAATTGAAAGAGAGGTAGAGGGACACGTGGAGTCACCCGGGTGTTAGCCACCACGCGCTATTCTTTAAATCTTGATATATCCTGTTTTTTCTTACCCACACGCGTCGTTTTTTTTGTGGCTGTTTATTAGGAAGGAAAAAATTTCACCAGTTGATTTTGTTGTTTTTTTAGCTAAATTACGGCCAACTCTTCTTTTTTCAATTGCAAAAGAAAATCTCTCAAATTCGTATAGTTACAAAAACTCTTAACTATAAATCTTCTTAGACATTTATTATGGTGTTAAATTTAACTGAATTTTCTAGATTATGTGGAATGTACTTTAATTTATACTCGATTTGTACAAAAATGCAGTTTTATGTAACGCAATCTGATATTTACAAGCTAATAAACACATCTTATGATCATCATGTTTCAAAATGTGGAGTTGAAATTGGGTAAAAACAAGTACAAATTGAAGAATATTCCACACAATCTAAAAAAAATCCACAAAATTCGACTGCAATAATTGACGTATAAGAAGATTCACAATTGATGGTTGATTGTAATTACCCAAACAAGTAGTGTTTACGTAATTTGACTCTTATTCTTTTGCACAACTCTATTCACACTTGACTTGCCAATATTATTCCATAGTTTTCCGTGATCTATATTTTGTTTTCTTCTCTATTATTCTTCTGCGTTAACCAAAGCAAAAAGTAACAGGCAAATTAAATCCAAATTCTTAAAAAGTATAACCTCGATAAATTAATAATTTTGTTTAATTAATTTTTCTTTTTTTTTTCCAACTTAAGGACTACGTGTTAAAAAATATATAGTCAAATTAATATTTCACTAAACTAGAATTTTAGTGGTTTCAATTGTATTAATTTATTAAAAAATTATAGTAGGAGTTAGTAAGACGAAATTTCAAGTGGTGAATCAATCACCACCTTGGGAGCCGCCATCTCCCCTCTCCATTTTGGATACGACTAATTCATAATTCGTAGTACGTTCAAAAACTTTTATCCTATGCCTGAACTATCTAGTACTTATGTATGAAGGATCAGGGACGGACAAAAGAATTTTACAGGGCAATTTCATTTTTTCCTCAAAAAATACACTATAACAAAAGTAAAAGAGAATAATTTACTTTTCCGTCCTAGTATGTTCAATAAAATATTTCAATCATTTAAAATTGTGTTACGATCTTTCAATATGCAAAAGACTTCAATTATAGAATCGGTACTAAATGTATAAAAATTTTCTTCTCAAATATGTAAAAGCATGCAATATATATTATTGTAGGATTCTAACGCTTTTATTGGTTGAATACCATTCTAAGCGCAGGCCGCAGAGTCACGAGCATTACTTGAAAGCATTCGTTTATGAAAGTTTCTTCGGCGGGAAGATGTGGAGATTGAATCAAATGCTAAAATCTCGGTTGACATAATAGAAGGAAAAGCAATCAATAGATGGGATGGGAGATTGATAACATTCCCAAATATATACTTCATCCGTTTCATAATATCTGTCACTTTTGAGAATATTTTTTGGTTTCATATTATCTATCACTTTAAATTTTCAACACTTCATTAATTACTTAATTTCCAGTTTATACATTTATAAACTTCTTTCCAACACTGTTTTTTTTTTTTAACTAATTTCTCTCTCTTATGAATTATAAGAAAAAGTCATTTAGTCTAAAAGCTACATTTTCCTAAAATCAAGACACATTTAGTAGAATTTTTAATCTTTGTGTAAAACTAAAAAACGACGATTAAAACAGAACGAAGAGAGTATATCCTACAGGAAAAGGGGGACCGGAGAGTTAAGCATGTTTTCAAGGAACATAACTGTTGTGAATTGTGAAGCTCAGCAAGTTGTATTAACTTAGAATTAATCAAGCTAGAGCTAAATCTGATTCACTCTAATTACTCACACAGCAAAAGACACACATGCAGCTAACAAATAAAGAAGAAGAACCAGAGGATTTTACGAGGTTCAATCTCGATGTGAGATCTACATCCCCGGGAGCAATACAAGCTCCAATTCACTATAAAACCAGATCAATACAGATATAATATCAGAGATGATAATCTCAGCTGTAAACAAGCATGAGATCTGCCAGAAACCCTTTAACCCTTCACACAAGAATTTCTCTTTGCTCTTAGTGTATCCCCAGTATTGCCTCTCTCTCTCTCTCTCTCCTTAATGCTTCTGTGATATATATAGAGAACTTTCTCCCCAAGTAATTCACAAGAGCCATACATTCCTTCCACCAATCAAATCAGCTCAAGTGTAACAAACCACATGGCTGACTCGGATGGCTGAGTAAGCAACTTAAACTGACGTGCTTCATACGTGATGAGAGAATATAGTGAATAGTAGGTGTGTAATCCAGATATAGAAACCATATAATAATAAATCTCCACCTTGGTTAAAATATCATCACACCACTTGTACTGCTCCTCCATGTTCCCCTCCAGAACATGCAGCCAGGAGTTCACTCCTGTCTTTCCTTAATTCTGCTAAGTCTGAACTTGTACCATCTCCAAACAATGTTGGAACTTATTGAATGGTAAAGGTTTAGTTAAAGAATCAGCTGGATTTTCTTCAGAAGCTACCTTCACAGCTTTAACTTTCCCTGCTTCAATAACTTGTCT